GCCGGAGGGCGTGGGAAGGGCGGTGCCACGACTTCTGCTGGTCCCTGATAGGCTGGCTTTTCTGGGGGACGTGCGGGTGGAGGGCTGCTTCCTGGGGGACGTTCTGGTCGCCACCGGCGTCACGTTTTCATTGGATTTCCTCCGTTCCGCGGCAGCAGATCTGAACCGAGTTGAAGAAGAAAGCAGACATTTCAGACAAATTTGCAGTGGGGAACTCATTCCAAAAATCTACATCTACAGTATTCTATACTTTTCTACCTCATTCAAACAAATGAAAAAAAAAATGGGATGCAGTATCAACTGACTTGTTGGCTGGTGCCTTGCGAGGTTTCTTGGATGGACCCGACTCTTCTGTGTCACTTCCACTGCCCTCCTCCTGACTGTCTGTCCCTCCCCTGAGTCTACAGTCACAGTCACAAAACAGGGATTGGATGATATACATGTAGTTTGCATTAATGACTTACATCATAGAATACTCTTGTGGTTGTATGATGAAACTACAGTTATCTTTGCTGGCGACTTCAGCCACAAGAAAATATTACATTGTCTGATACAGTTCATGACAGGCATGTTAGAGTAGAAAACAACTCCCGTACCTTGTTTTTGCGGCTGGTTTGGCTGCCGTTCTTGGTCTCTTTGCAGGACTCTCCTCCTCTTCCTCTGCTGGCTCTGAAGTCCTCTTCCTCTGAGTCCCCTTCTTGGCAGCCTCATTCTTGTTCCCCTGCGCCCTTCGACCTGGCCCTCTTGGCCTCTCCTGTACATCGGCAGTCTCCGTTGATCGCTGCGTTCTCTTCGCCGTCTCTGACGCTTCCTTTGCTGCTCTCTGTTGTTTGGTGGGTCCGTTCCTCTTGCCTGGCAGCTCGGATGACGCTGTCTTTGGTCCAGCTCTGGGAAGGGGACTGTCCTTGTCTATCAACGCTGCCACACCGGTCTTTTTCTGGGAAACAAAGTGGTAAACATGGAATCAGAGATACGTCCATAAAGGTTAGACATCCAGGTAATCCACTCTTTGTCAGTCACTGACAAAAAGTAGTGGATGCTACTTGAAATGTCTAACAGTTCTCTAAACCTATCCAGTTGCTTGAGTAACAATTCCTTGTGTAAGAAATCAGAGATTTTGAACTTGGGAAGTACAGATCTAGAGGAAACCTCACCTTGGGTGTCCACTGGAAGTTTGTGGGTAGGTAAGACTTGGTATTCAGCGTCTGTGTCTATAAAACAATACCAAGACAGAAATTGGCAATCATCATTAAGTTTCTACAAAGCACTTTGACCAACAGAAACATGCAACAACATTTCTAGAGCCTGGAAGTTTGTGAGTAGGCAACTTGAAGACTGTTCAATGTTCAGTGTCTGTGTTTATAAAAAAAAAATGGGAACAATTATTGTTAAGTTTCCTTCCCGGCGTGAGTGGATCAAATCTTACAATCTGTTCTTACACAGGTCATACGTACTAGATTATGCCTAAAGTTGGTTTACAGGTTATGCAAAACGAAAAAAGGAGAAAAACCTACCAGGTCAGGTTTGGTGAAGAGTTTGGAGGGTAGATCGGGGGTGACGGGGTGCTCCTTCCATGTCACGTTTGTCGCCTTCAGTACCAACAGGTTGTGTGCCAGGTCACACACAGCATACATTTTCTACACATGACAACACAGAGGAACAAACATTTCATGGACTTGTTACCAACACAAAAAGCTACCTTCTTGATATCTGTGACAGAATTCCATCATTTCACAACACAGAGGAACATTCAAGTTTCAAGGACTTGTTACCAAGAAAAAACGATACCATTTCGACATCTGTGACAGATTTCCATCATTTTACAACAGAGAACTGCAAATCGTCTAAAACACTGCAAAAAAACTTTTTTTTCTCATACCGCGCAAATACAACCTATGCTAAATTACATGATGTAAATTTCCAAGTTTCACGTTAATCTCTTCCAACACAACTTTCTGTACCTCGTTGGCATCCTGTTTGTCCGGACATTGGGCATCCTTGGTGCTTTTGATGACCTCGATCAGCTTCTTGACAAAGATGTAGTTTTGGTTCTCACTGCGCATGATGAGGGGCTCCATAATAAACCACAGGCACCTACAGTAAAAACAAGCAACTAGAAATGTAACATTCGCAAAGCAAATGCATACTGTTAACATGTACATGGTTTAGCCTTACAAACTACTGGTTTATTCTCACTATCAATTATATATACATTGTACACACAGAAGAAACAGAGCAAAAGGTTTCCCTTCTGCGGAGGCAGACATTGACCGTGTTTTTACAAACTTGCTAGAAAAAACAGGTAAAATTTGTTTGGTGCAGGTAATTTTCAATGTTGCCTGTACCAGTGCAGGTATGCAGAATAAAGCAGTTCGAGCCCTGTTATAACAATCTTATGTTTCCAGATACTGACTCTTTGATATCCTTGAGTTGTTCCACCTTCTGGCGGTCGCGAAAGCGTGGGTCATGTGCCAGTAGGTGGATGGTGTAAGGCACGACGTAGTCTGGCAACAGGGACATCAGCTTGGCTGCAGGGGAAAAACACACACACATCAGTATCAGTAGTGTCAGGCCCCTTTCCTCATCCTACCACCCAGGGGGTACCACATCACAACCCTGTCAATCAACTGAAACCCAATCCCTGTCCACCCACTTCCAATCTCTGCTATTAAGGACAAGGTACATACAAACTCCCGTCCAACAAGAGAGCGAAAATATCTCCCCAAGAACATAAAAGAATTTACAATTTATAAAAAAGTCTGCTGCTCAAGATGTATTAATTCCTGGTCCAGCATGTTGGCCAAATGTACTGCGCCTGTGCAAAACTCGTAATCAGTAATTATGTGTTGTGTACTTTGGCAGAACATCTTGTGTATGGTCATATCCATGTGACTGATTGTGACACCCAGACTATAGTTTTTAAATGTTATGTTGGAAAAGGTACCGTCTTCTGTGGGAAAAATTCTGAGATAAGGATACTGAAATCCTTAAAAATCAATCTGGGTTTGGTGCATGCGCTGTGCCCTGTGTCTGCCTTACCTTGTGCTCCTGAATGCTGGACGATGTACTGCCTCCTCTGTGCGATGTTCTTGTTGATACAGGCCTTGATCTGCCTGCGCAGGCCGGGGTGCTGCTCGCGAGCGGCCAGTGAGAAGATGGACATGTACTCCAGGGGCAGGCGCAGACGCATCAGGCCCTTGTGCAGCTTGTTGGTGAACTTCTGACGAACCTCCAGACATGAGTCCTGCCAGGGGAGAGGGGTCAAGTTTAGTGTGCAGTTTTTAGACTTCTACTAAGTGTTTAGGGTTTTTGTGAATGTAATCTGTATTGTATAATCTTAGGGAAATACCTGATGGAATTACATCATAAAATGGATTATTACTCATATGATTGTATGATGCAACGTACTCTGCTATAACACTATGGTTTGTGTGTCAAATCATGATTACACATACCACAGCCTCCCAAAGCATACTGGGTCACAACCCTGTTAATCAACAGAAACCCAATCTCTGCCCACTCACTTCACTCACTCAGATGGAAGGAAAAGTCATGGCCTTATGTCTCGCAAGGGATGAAGTAAGTCAGTAATTACATTTATGAGTGAAGCCACCATCTGGAACTGTTCGAGGGACAGCAGGTCGGAGAAGACTCTCTCCTGGGCCAGCTTCAGGACGGCACAGCCGGCTGCCAGCCGCAAGTGGGCTCGCTCAGGCAGGCTGCAGATGGGAAACATACCATCTTACTCTCAAAAATTAACTTCATCAGGTAGTTAGAACATAGGATATTGCAGTTTTCTTTCACACAACCAGTTAAGTCTCTAACATGCTTAGACTTCAAGATTTGAATGCCTATTAGACCGCTGAGGTAACTTCAATATACAGTCTTACTCTTCAAACCTTTGTCATTGTCAGGAACCTAAAGCATGTTGACAAAATCAAAGATTTCTAACATCCAGGAGATAGATATAGTTTTTGTGGGAAAACATTTAATCTTACTCAGTCACTACAAAAATAAAACCACTGTAAAAGTTACTGCATTGACAGTAGATGTTAGTTTCTAGCTCTCATCACACTGCAGATAATTCTGTACCAGACAGAGCCCTTCTGCATGAGGTCTCCCCTGTTCTTGATCATGGCGTGGAGCAGTCTGAAGGTGGAGGTACAGGAGGAGTTCTCATTACTCTTCATACCCAGCAGCCAGTTCACTATCAGCTTCAGGGCGATGATCTGGGGGACAGAAACAGAGAGTTGCTCAAGTCATGGCATCACTGTGTCTGCTGAGCACTTTGACAGGATGTACTGCACCTGTGCAAAACCTGTTTTTTTTTCACAGGTTTTACGGTAGTTGCAAGTTTAGTCAACATTCTATTAGTTGCTCCAAACAATTATAATCATTGCTATGCTTTTGTTTTGACTCAGCTTTAACTCTGACCAACCCTAGTTTAAATTCCACAACTACAGTAATACCTGGCTCGTAATACAAAGAACAACTTTTGACAGGACACCGACCTTTGCCTGGGATTCTTCTGACACCTGATCATCCTCACACCAGGTAGACGTGGTCACTTTGCCTTTTTTCTGGAAAAAACAAACAAACAGAAACCTCAACATGTGGATATGATTGAATGACGCACTACACAATGGTTTATGTTTCATACCATGAATTTACACAGTACGCATTCCTGGTGACCTCATACCTCATCTTAACATCAATGGCATACCAGGTCACAACTTGACAAGCATCTAGAATGTAGTTTGTACAACAATGAGTTGAACTTCAGAGACTGATAACATCAATGTTTCCCTACTTCATACACCTTCATAAACCACTGTGTGTGTATGTACAATAAATGTCTTCATTTAGTAATTCATTCTATGAGTGTCCTTACCCTGTCCTGCATGAGGAGGTCTTTGACAATGAACTTGGCCACAAAGTTCTTCATCTGCTGTGAGAAGAGTTCCGGTGCCAGCAGGGCGAGGTGGCCGATGGACGTCAGCGCCGTCAGGAAGTTGTCAGAGTTGAAGGACAGCTTCTTCCTCAGTTGCTGTTGGGGAGACAGAAGGTGGTCTGTGGTTAGGGTCCAATGGACTAAGGGTCCAATTGGACCACTGTGAAAGGTTGTTCGAATCCCTAGCAGGGCCCAGTTGCTATGTTATACATTACTATGCAATGATTGACAAAAAAAAAAGATGATGCCTAGCTGTTACTAGTATGAATGTGCATGTATTTTATTAATTCTCCCCAAGACGGCAAGGTGTTGTTGACTTCAGGTCTAAAGGTTCTGGGTTCTTTACCAGGCCCCAGTCTTATGCCCTTCAGAAAGGCACCTAACTCCTATTTCTTCACTTGACTCAGGAGAAAATGTCACACTAATAAAGTGCCAAACCTATGTAACACTGATACAGTATTATATACAAAACAAACAAATAAACAGACAAACAAACCTCAAATATCTGATTGAAGATGCTGTCCCTGACTCCAGGGAAGATGGTGTTGATACAGCGGATGGCGTGTTTCGCCTGGCGTGGGGTGCCCGTCTTCGCTTTTACCGACAGCACGGGGAGAAGGGCCCTGCAACAGGTAATGTTGACTTTGTAACAGGAAGCACATGCATTTTCCAGCAGTATGTTATCTAAATCAAAGCTTTGCAAACAAATTTTGAACAGCTATACTGCAACATGACCGAAATATGGGATAAAGAAAAGATGCCTACATTTTCCTTTTTCATATTCAAAGACACAGTAAAAATTGAGAAATATTCTTGATTTGAGAGAGCCAAGGATACATCACATGTACACAAGAAGTTAATACATACGACTTTATCTGAGGGAAGCCCTCCTCGATGACTGCCCCAGTGTTGCTGAAGATCTGTAGGGCTGTATCCACTGAAACATATACACAGACATATATCATACAATATCACCAAGGTACTCAACTTCTAGTTGCTACAGTCACTCATATAGATTTCATATGGTTCAAGGATTTTGAGAGTCACATCGTTCTTCATAACCTGTATACCAGCATAATAATACTTAAGTCACCACAGAGAAAAACCCTTATGTCTAATGCAGGTATAAGAATGAAACTCATTCCGTGGGTTTTCTGACTTACCAACTATATTGTTGTCCTTCTTTAGGTAAGAGAGGAGTTGTCCAAAGATGTCTTGGGACTGGAATGATTCAGGGTAAATTGGAGACAGCATCTGTATGGAGAAAACAAGAAATCAGAGACTTCAGACTTCTGGGAAGTGTTTTGGGTCTTCGTGAATATATAGGAACTGAGGGGATAATAATGTAAATTAAATCGTACGAGTACTACAACACTTACTGAATTCTTGCATATAATTATTACACACTGACATGTTTCAAATCAGCATATGCTGGGTCAGTTTCATCCACGACCTATCTATAAATCAACTGTCAAAATCATCTCCCACCCTCTAGCAACTGTTGCCACTCTGGAACCCAAAGTAACTTACTCCCACCATGGTTCATGTTTCATACCATAAGGCCATGTTGATTTGATTATATGGATGACATCCGCGCGCATCAATTTTCGGCCGTTTCCAAAAAAAAAAAAGTTTTCAACCATACTGTAAATCGTGCAAAACAGTTGCTAAATGAGCAAAAATATACCATAAGTTGCAAGGAAAACATTTAGAAACGATACCAATGTCGTAGAATGCCAAAATCAAAGGAAAAAAGACAAAAATGTAAAGAAATGAATTCGAAGAGTAGATTATTCGCCATTACATTCTGTCCCATTTGTTCAACCTTCATGACCACGTAGATTTCATAGTGAAAGCAACTTTTTTTTTTGCAAAACTTTTTTTTTATTCGCACGCGCGCATCAGTTTTGGGGTTCCCAGAGGATGTCATCCATATAATCAAATCAACATGGCCTAATTATAGAGTACACGCACCTGGTGACCACATCCTACCACGTAAGGCATACTGTGTCACAACCCTATCAACTGACACCCAATCTCCACCCACTCACTTTCAATGCTTCCTACTCAGAATGAAAAACATACGTCAAATGCCTCCCAAAACCGATAGTTCTGTCCCCATAGTAACAACATTTCATGATTCAAGGTACATTCCTGTACAGTCAAACCTGTACTAGCGGTCACCTTTGTATAGTGGTCACTCGGCCATAGCGGTCAGTTTTTGCCGGTCCCTTGAATTTTTCCCATTGACGTAAGCATTAAGAATCGTGTCTATAGCGGTCACTGTTCAACGCGGTCAGCGGTCACCCCATTCCGGTCCCGCCGGCATGTCAACACCGCCGATAGCGGTCGCGGCTGACCGTAACCCACTAAGCACCACGGCCGTAACACCACCCCACCTCGGGCTACGACCGTTATGAGCCTTGTGATAATTTTCCGATCACTACATTACTAAAATGTGAACTGAAAATTAGACTCCATATGTGTATGAAATAAAGGAAAACTGACTTTTGACACGAAGTTCCTGCGGTCGCGGGTGTCTTTGATATCTGCGTTTTCGCCAACACCAGTGCCGTGCGTGCCGCATGGAGCTTTCAATGGACTCGGCCGCTCGGCGAAGATTACGGCAAATTATCTTTACAAAAAAACTTAAGAATATCCATATTTGGTTTCTCGATTCCTTGAAATGCGTAGATATGTGCATAGCTTCCGTTTTTCATGGGCATAATTAAAGAAATTTGGCTCGAAAATGCGTTTCGTATTTTTCCAAGATGGCGCATGTTGGCTGCAGAGGGAGGTCAATTGGGGTCATCGGAAGACTCCACTGTTATGGAGGTAGATACACCGAGTTTTATTTAACTTCATTAGCGTCAAATGACGTAATTACATTATGAAAACATTTGAAATACATTACTACAATTAATTTTAGATGTAAATTTAACACTGTAGTGGATATTTTAGAAAAGATATAAGTCTGAAAGGAGAAAATTTTCTGTTGACTACCACATTGGCATAATGGTAGAGGCAGACAACCCACGCGGGGAGAAACCCAAGCCGTAAACAAAGGAGAGTTTTCGCTAAGTTTTCATGTTCAAAAACGACCAAAAACGGAAAGTAACTGGCAACTGACGAACAATTATTTTGCTGTTAACTAAATAGACAGCATCTTGGTACAAAATAACTTATTTACGTGGTTGGAATTCGCTGTGGCGTATGTCGGTCGCGCGAAGCAAGTGTTCACCAAAGAACAAAAACATGGCGATGTCGTTCTCTTCCACTTTTCGACTAACAACAACAACTACTAGTAACGTGGCGATTGCGGAGAAACGATGGCGAAAGCGGAAAGACGGACGCCAAACTTATTCCAAAAGGTGGAAGTGATTCGACTGGCAGAGAGAGTGAGAAGAAATCGTCGAAAGCTGAGCTTAGATTAAATGATTTTGCAGTCGATAGAAATTTGTTTGGAGTTGAAAGTTTGTTGCTTGATTTGCTTTCTTTTCTTTAGCCACATGTAGTACTAGTATGTACACAAGAACAGTAAATGACAACCAGTGATTTTGTATGTTTTAAATTATGTGAATGGTTTCATTGTCCCAGAATAGATTAACTGAATATGTTGAGTGTATGTATCTTTGATGTCAAGTTAATGTTTCCATGCAATATTTCTGTATTTCTTTATTTTTCAAGCAAGTACAAAATAAAGTACAACTAAAGCAAAAGAACAACAAATTATTGAACTAACACATGTACATATAAAAGGGGTTTACCTTTGCAAATGTATGTATTCATATGTTTCAGAATAAAGACATCACTGTTGGTACTCAAAGCATGTCCCTTTTTTTTTTGGGGGGGGGGGTCAACTAAACGGCTGTTTCTCTATAGTGGTCACCTGGCCATAGTGGTCAAATTTGGCCAGTCCCTTGAGTGACCACTATAGGCAGGTTTGACTGTATTTGTGTGTATTTCCTATGACTGTTTTAGCTCACCAGAATGAGCTGCAGGCCCCTCTCCTGGCCCAGGTCTCCCAGGTCCTCGTCTCCAAGCCCCTCCATGGTGTCGTTCAGCAGCTTGAAGAGCTGGTCCACGGCAGACGGGTCTATGATGAGTGGGGACACCTTCTCCAGGAGATTCTTCACCGTGTCGTAGAACGGGCTGGCTGGGCCCTTCTGACCAAAGTGACCAATCTTCTTCTGAATCTCTCTCTGGAAAAAACAAGACAACCATGCTGAATGGTAAAGTTCTTTTATTCACAACCATTTTTTTTGTCTTACATGAGCCGATGTTTCGATGACCGTCTGTCATCTTCATCAGGGTTAACATGACTGGTTTTCTGTGCACTGGAGCTAGGTGTTACATGGTTCACTATCCACTGAAGGTACTAGCTGTAATAATGCAGAAGACATGCTTTTCAAAACCCTTGTCCTGCTGCTCCCAACAACTGTTGAGAACATACACTTCCATCCCAGAAGTAACAAACCTACCATAGTCTCTGGTGCCTTCTCACAGGTGCATTTTGGGTCCACCAGTGTCCCCATGAAGCCCCAGATGCGCTCATCTTTACCCAGGATGTCCACAAACTTCTTCACTTGTTCGTGGGCCTTTGAAGGCTCCGACAGGCTCCCTGAAACATTGCCATAGGTTACGGTGCTGTAAATTGGCAAAATTTTGTAGTGGTTTAACTTTGCAGTAGTAGGAGAGGGAGGTTTTCACTGTGTTTCAATTCACGGTTGGAACAATGCTGAGGTACAGTAGTCAAAGACATATTCACAGTCTGTGGCAACTTTTTTTCATTAGCATGCATCCATAAATCAAATGGCCTAATTCTAAAAGCTCGAGCTGCTTCAGGCTACAAATTACTTACTTGCGAGAAGATTGGTCTTTGCAGCAATCATTTTGTCTTTTTCCTCGGCCTGTGGATTGAACAAGAATGTTGCAACAGTCTTAGTTATGATCTTAGGTGCAGGTGGACATAAGAACAGCTCCAAGTTTACCTGTACTCACCTGCATATTTAGGTGGTATTTCCAGCCAGTGGCAGTTCACATTGGACACAGATCTTACATTGCTACAGGCTCTCTGAATGACACAATAAACTTATAAAATGTAAAATTATATCTACAACTATCTGCTTGCATCATACCATAATCACAACCAGTGGTTGATGAAGGAAAGACTCCCATTTTTCAGTTCCCTTACATGTGATAAGTATTCACAAGTTCTGTTAAGTCATTTTACTGACACTGAAGAAGAGTGACGGATGACATGTCTCACCTCGGTTTCCTCATCTGCCAGCAGATCCAGGAGTTGTTTCATGTGGTTACGCAGCATGTGCTGGCTCCGAAACACCTCATTCAACGACCTACATGACAAAAAACAGCTCTCCATTAGAGAAAAGTGGCCAGAACAAAGGGCTATTTTACTATACAGCAGGGATTATTCCTATTTTTTATCAATGAGAATGCAACTCACTGCCCACTGGGAAGACTGCACTGATGCAAGCCTGTAGCATAAGCACAGTGTCTTCGTAATCATAAGTACAGTACTGTATTGTGTGTACGTTTTGCCTATGCCATGATTACGTTAAATCTTACAATGGGGATACCGTACATTTCAAACAAACCTGACTTCTCCCTTGGTGACAAAAGAGCAGTAGTGAGCATGCGTTAACTAGATGCTTGAATTCTATCATTGCAGAAAATACAATACTACAGTACTTACTTGACGGCATGTTCATCCAGTGTTGCGTACAGCCTGAAGAGTCGTCTCATCCTAACCTTGGTGTCCATCATGTAAGGTACCAGGCAGTGGGTCACAGCATGTTCCACCAACAGTCTGAAGCACACAGGGAAAAACACACACTGTCACATGGATATACTTTCAACAGTCAACTTTAAGTATATATAAGTCAACTTTAAGTATATTCATATATATAATTATATGAATGCTCCAAGTATATTCATATATATATGAATGCTCCAGACAGGGATTCTCCAGGGTTAGGCTTGATGACTTGGGTTCAAATCTGTGCTCGTGTTTTGTTCTTTTTTACTAATACAGTAGAAGCCGCTTATTTGAAAAGCCAATTTGTCAGCACATTTTTTTCAAATACCCGGCCTTTCCGATTAAGAGACTCTGAGGCTCAAACTCTCGGCCTTCATTGAAACTATGGGGGTGGGGGGTGGACAGGGCATCGAGCACATAACGACACAAAGAATACAAACACGAGTCACATTTACGCATTAAAAACAGTGAACTTTATTGAGATCGGTAAATTTGCTTTTAATTTTTTTCGTTGACGTACACACGTATTTTTTTCGTTTTTTCCAAGACTGGAAGAACGCCGCGATACGTTAGACATCATGTGCTATCGGCAGGCTCTACTCGAACGAATAAACAAATTATGCTACGTTTGCTACGTACAAAACAAGCAACGAATACATGCACAATCATCAGCCTGTACGTACTTTTACATCACGAAAGTAGCAAAAAATAAAGTTTGATTAACGGAAAACTTCAATCAAGTAGCGTACAGACAAAAATGCAGACGATCGTCATGAAAGCAGTCGATAGCACAATTCACAAAGGATCGCTTCGATCGCTTAATTTTCAGAAACTCCGGCTAGCACACGAAAATTATCGTAACTAATGCAACAATAAACTGTTCATTTCAATGTTAATGACTTTTTAGCTCACGATGTCCGTAGGTTACATGGAAATTTGCGATAGTTGACGGGGATCTCTCGCATTAGCGTTCAGGGAAGTAAACAAAGATGGCGGACGCGGCGTGGGTAGCAGTATCCCATCATTCCATGCGGTGTTTTTTCGCGGCACATTTGGCGTGTTGAAGCGGCGATAGCGCCGTGTCGCAGTCGAAATAAACTCAAAATAATGGCGCAGTACACAAGTAGAGACATGGTTTTGATGATTAAAAAATGAGTTGTATGAGAAATTAAACGGTTCTTGGAATAAACAGGCTAAAAGAACACAAAAGCATGCCGCATTTGGCGGCTATGAACCGGCTCGCGCTTCTCATTACGTAGTGCCGATGTGCGCCCGACCGCTCGATCAACGTAAATTTCGGCCTCCTTTGTGGTTCAAAACAGACAACTTCGTCCCTTTTGGCGGCTTGATGTCTTGATATAAGAAATTTTCCGCCGATTTTGGTGATTTGTTTGGCATGTTTTTGGTTGAAAATGTGTTGCAACTTGACAATTTTTTTTTTCAAATAGCCGGCATTGGCTTTTCAAATAAGGGGCGTGATAAACAATGGTGTCAATGGGAAACGGTTTGGGTTTTCACAATTCTTTTCAATTAGCAGACTTTTTCTTATAAGCGTTTTGCAATTAACTGGCTGCCACTGTATCTGTACTAATTATGTAGATGCTGTCACACATTTGCAACTGAAATGTTGCTTTTTGTATGTTTTAAATGTTAATTTGCCCCCCCCCCCCAAAAAAAAGTCATGATACACTTACTAGTAGATATGGCATAGAAAATCCAGCGATATGGCATCAACCATTTCAAATGACAATGACCATTTGAGACCAAAACACGCATATGAGACAGTCCTGTCCTCTACCAGTGTAATTATTATGAGAATTCTATTTTCCTGTACAGATTATCATGCAAGACTAGGTTCAGGTTCAATGGACAGAACAGAGCCTGACCTGTCCTCAGGGCTGGTCTGGTAGTACACGTGCAGGAGTTTGTTCTTGATCCAGCTGATCATCTCGTCCTCCTGTCCCGGCGTGGTGCAGTGTTCGCGGTAGATCAGTGCCAGGCCTTGGTTTGCCTCACGACGGATCTTAAACTAGAATAACAGAGAAGGTAGCAACGTCAATTAAGAGACAAAATTCCAGGTGAGCTGTGCTTGACTGTGTTGAACGTAAGTATCAACTTCATAAGGAAATGAACCAATACAGTGAAAATACCTTTACCTAACTAGTAAGTACTGCTGTTTATTCTTACTCAAACACATCCATACAAATGGTGGCCAGCCCCTCCATGCCACTTGCTACATAATGCAATCACAGGGTGTCTGCTACATTACTAGTTGACCATCTGGTCCAGGTCATTGACCTTAATTGTTTGAAGAAGAAGAAGAGGAAGAAGAAATTGAGCACAAAAAAATGCAAAGGAAAGCAAAATAAAGTCAAATTAATGTACCTTCTTGTCCAGCATCCTGTCCTGTACCAGACTCAGAAGCTCGCGGGTCACGTTGCGAAGGCTCTCCTTGGCCGCCTTGATGATGGACGACACCACCTCGTAACGTACACTCTCGTCAGGGTCGTGGCAACGTGCCTTCAATTGCTCTGCAAAACCGCAACATTTCATGTCAATCTTTCCTTGTAAATGACATGGCAAACTGATGTGTAAAATCTTCCTGAGATCTGTAATACTATAATGATAGTGTCTGTACTTTACTTCACTAGTTAGGTTTGTCTTTATTTCTGTAATGTAAAGTTGCCTGTAACCACAGAAAATGACATCACTGTTGTACCCGGAACTGTGATTTACTTCAACCATGCTCAGGCACAGTTCTGGATAGTCCACGCATATCTAGAACTGTCCCTTGGGCAAATCTTTGTTCTTTGACTATCCAGAACCCTAACCCATTTAAGCATTGAACTAGTTGGCATGTTTCTGGATACAATAGTCAGTGATACAACTCTGTGTCTTACCTGTCACTTCTTCCATCATGTGCTGGTGGTTGATGAGTAACTTGGCTGCAAACTTTACACACTCCACACGGACAGCCACATTCACATCCTTAAATCTGCCAACAAGTACAAAGGAAATAGGTTTAACTAAAACGATAAAAAGTGTATGACATGTTACACCTAACCTTTGAACACCTAACTCTAAACATTGTTTAAAGCTATCGAGTGAAGATAGCCATACTGTACCTGGTAACAGCAAATTCCACTCTACAATAGAATGGATTGAAAATAAAACCAGCGCCACCCAAAACAATAATTGAATCCCAGTTACAAGTACTAAGTGAGAGTACCTTCCCAGGTAGCAGTTCCACAGTGGTTTGTTCTGTGAGGACAGCTGTGACTCCTTGTCTGAGAACATGCGGCCCAGCAGACGGGTCACGTTCAACCTCTCATTACCATCATTGCTCTGTAAAGACGTGGGAAACATACAACAAAGTTTAACACTGACATGAGGTGGTCTTGTGGTTAGGGTTCTAAGCCTTTGACTTAGAATCTAAAGGTTCTGGGTTCAAGTCCCTGACAGAAAGCTATGCCCTTGGGAAATCTTAAGGTTCTGGGTCCGAATGCCTGTGTTGTAACCTTGGGAAACTTGACTCAGGTGAAAATGAGGACATAGGTTTGGTTAGGGACGTCCTCTTGGATAGCACGTAAAGCTGGCGGGCCAGTGTTTCAAGTTAAAAGAACAAACCAGTCCCATCTCCTCTTGAAAAGGCAATAGTCATCAGTTATGTCAATCCTTACACAACTGTGGTAAATCCCAATATATAAGTACATAGACTAATGCTGTTCACTACAACAATCTTGAGACATGATCACATTTGACTGCCTATGGCCCCTACTGACCCCCTACTGACCCTGAGCTTGAACTCGAGCTGTGGCAGGACAGACAGCAGGACATTAGGTGCGATCAGGTTCAGCTCGTAGATCAGGTCGTAGATCCGGGCTGACGCATCACTCTCAGACGTCTTCCCCAACACAAGGACATTGTTGAAAAACTGTAGAAGAATTCAAAATTACACAGATTAGCGAAGAGGTACTGGAACTGTGATTGTGTAGTTTTTGCAGTGGTTTTATTTAGAGGCAAACAATGCTGTAGTACTGTAGTTACTAGTATACAATGGAGACATATTTGCAGTGTCATGAATTTGCGTTGAAGAGGTCACAGCGGTCATTCCCTTGTATTTTGTCTGACCCAAAAAATATGCATCTTAAACAAACTCACTTGTAACACAAAGGTAGACACAATATTTTGAGACACTTTCTCTGGACTAACAGAACTTGTTCTATGAAAAACAGAATGACAGAAACAGAAGAGAGCATTAACAAGAAGTACTTTAACAATCAAAACACACTAATATTTCTCAGCATAGTTTTGTACTCACTGTCTGGATGTAGGGTTCGATGGCTTGTGAAGTGCGTTTGATCAAGTCCCTGGCCAGTTCATATGCCTCAGGAAACTTGCTCTGCAAAATACAGCATGTAAGAATGACTCAATATGTACAACAGTCATCAAAACTGTCTTTACTACAATTTATAGCAATATGTCGAAGGAAAAACTGTAATCACCACATAAGTCATAAGTTTCATCACATACCAATAGATGTTCTACTAAGCCTCTACAAGTGATACAAATATGTACTGATTGAATTTTGCAATTTGACAAAACTTCAAGGTAACAGCCAGCAATGAGTTTCAATAGAAATGCACACATTTTCTTGTCATGAATGCAATAACTGCAAGAAAGAAATGTTCCTAACAAAAACATGGAAATAACAGACATTCCTGGGGAATTGCAAGATTTCTTGTCATCAAACGATTACGTACTACTAATATACTATCAGGCTCACCCCTGAGGCATCGCCAAAAATGCTAACCTTCTGAGGCTCAATGATCCTCATAAGAATGATATCCAGCAGGTCCTGGGACACAGAGTCTCCCTCGGTGATGATAGGGGACATCATATCCAACATGAAGGTACGGACCTTGTTGGAGTGGCCACGACTGAGGACATAGAACAGATTATACATCCATGTAGGTTTTAACACACAAATCAAACTCTACAACTGGATGAATTATGGGGATTACTTGTGAACGTTTTGAGTGGCATCCGTAGGTATAAAGGAGGTCTTTGTGGTGTTTGAGGTTTGTAGAGTTCAGATTTGAGTAGAAATACAAAACACAAATTCCTGGCGTTATAATTTCACAATAAGAAGACACCATGAAAACTACAAAAAATCTTATGACATGAGTGAGGAATTTTGGCACTGCTTGTGATAAACATAGAATTTAGTAATACCGGTAACTAAGTTTGTGTAACCAATGCCCAGAGCCCTAAAAGTATGAAAAATGGCACCAGACTTACTGCACAATACTGAAGAGAGTTTCAAACAGCTGGTTGAAGATCTCTCCGCAGTCCTCCAGTTCAAAACAGATGTTGAACGACTTCACCCACGACAGGTTCTGCAGGGAGTATCAAGACTAGTTTATTCTTCATTTCAAGATATTGTTGTAAGATTTCAGCAAAATAAGGAGCAGACAAGAAACCTATTACATGTGTAATCTTATGGTACATCTGGTGTTTCCATCAACTACCATATGGTATTGCTATACCAGGATACAAGGAAGTAATAAGTAGTTCCTACAGTTCCTTCAGGCATGAAGAAATGAAATGTTAAATGATGAGTGTTCAGGGAAAATTAATCACCTAAGGGCAGGATATTGTATACAACAGAAAAATCAAACACTTAGAGCTACTATAAGCTGTGGGATATGATTTCAATGTTCTAAATATGTGCCACTTTTAAAACACCTTGTCTTCTTCTTTTGCCACACTGAAGTCTTTGTACATAATGTTCACTAAGATGGAAAAGTAAAGGATATATCCTTACCTCCAAGAGGTAGAAGTATCTCTTAAACAGAGCTCCATTGATGTCCTCAAGGCCCCTTAGCTGCTTGATAAGGAACAGGAAAATTTCCTACAAGAACACAGTGAAAAATCACATATGATATACATAAGTTGAGTCTTGGAATGTTGAAGCAACAGCTCAAAATAATGACCTCAATAAAAATTAGACAGCAGGCTGATTTGACTATTTCATGAGTAAACAATGAAATGATGATTTCATGAGTAAACAAAGGCTCAAACAACGTGGTGTAGCATAAACAAGTCTCTGTCAAATTACATCTCTCACCTTCAACTGTGTATGTTTCATACCATGATTTCAAGATTACACAATACACATTCTTGGCAACTTCATACCACATCCTACCACCCTGTGAGGGCAAACAGGGTAACAACCCTGTCTATCAACTGAGACCAATCTCTGCCCACTCACTTCCAACCCTCCCTGCTTAGGACAAGACACATACAAACTCCCCTGCACCGCCCAAAACAATACTTCCACATCTCTCACCTTCTTCTGTATGGGGTCCTTGTACGGTGCCTCAGGCGCGTAGATGCGGAAGATGTCGGCTATGCAGCAGCCGACGATGAGTTTCACGTCTTTGCTCTCATGGTGCAGGAAGTGTTCTGACGCCATGTGGAGCGAGAGCGGCTCGTAGCGCGACTTCTCCTCCTCCTGGTCCTGGTCCATGTCCGCAAACGTTTTGGCCAGAACCTGCGGAAGGTAGGCACTAGATAGCTTTAAACAATGTTTAGGTCTAGATGGTCAAAGGTTAGGTGTATCAAGTCATTTGGTGTAGTATAGCCAGCTGCCGCCATGCTGCGTGCCTGCGAGCTGGTGTGTTATGCCGAGGGGCAGTTATATACCGGCTATAAAGATACAGAAAAAGGTAAGGCAGCCATCCTCAAATGAGGTATATAAACCCAATACATGAGCAAGAAGTCACCAGAAATACCTGCACAGCTCCAATTCTACATACACTAACCTGCATATGAAATGCCAATGTCATAAACTAGGGTTTATTGTCTATGACCAGGGTTCGAAATACCACCTGCATATGCTGTTTAGTGTAGGTAAAATTGGAGCCGTGCAGGTAATTCTGATGTCTACCTATACCTAACAAGCTTTGGTCCATGTACTGGATTTATATACAAATGAAGGTGTTGAGTGGAAATATTTTTGCTGCAATGACTGTTACTACCAATGAAGTATAAAAGAAGTAATGACAATGGTTTCTGATCAGTTTTCAGTATACTTTCCAAATTCTGAAAGTGAAAGGTGCAGGTAAAATTTGTCTGGGGCAAGTAATTTTCAATGTTACCTGGACCAGTGCAGGTATGCAGAAAACAGGATTTCGAGTTCTGATGACTGTCTTTGACTAAGACTAAGATGTCTTACCTTGAGTCTCCTGATGAGCTCATCCTTATGCAGATCTTCTGTCAGCTCCTTCACCCCCTCAGGGTACACCACCTTCAGGTGAGGTCGGCCTCGGGATGGCATGGCTGAAATCTGTGCAACAAACCAGAAATATTCTTAAGTTTAATTTTTAAACACGTATCCTCAGCAGCCATGACATACCTGCTGTACATGTATCTTTTTGTAATCTATAGTGTTTTGTAATATTGTGCAGTTTTAGGTGGAATGTGTCATCTAGATTTGTGCAATCATAGAAAGTATAGTTGAAATAAAAATTGTTTTATTTGTGAATATGAGTAAATTCTGAACTCTAAATCTTAACGGCATGCAGCAAAGCACTGTCTGGAAGAGAGGACGACTTTATGGTTTGGGAATTTCAAATATTATGTTCATGATGAGCATGGAGTTAACTCCATGTGATGAGATACTCTGAACAGTTAACAAATACCATGCATAATGTATCAGAAGATAACAATAATAATCAGCATTTATCAGTAATGGTGGCACTCTGTGTATCACAAAAAGGTTCAAAAGGTCATATTTCCTGATCTTAACAGGGTCGTTTTTACTTCACTTAGTCATCTTTCAGTTCCAGAGTAAGCTTTCGAGCACTATTTTCACTATAATGATCCTGCGGGAGCTGACCAGCCAAACCTTATGTTAGCTTTGCACAAGCATTTAGAGGTATACGGACATTCACAGCTATCAATGCTGATGTTTTACCAGTACAGTTTACCTGTACAATTGGGTTAGGGTTAGGCCTTGGGGCAAAAAGGTTTAAAATATGGGTTTTATACCATCTCTTTGGCAAGCGTTGGGATAATTTAGAGCTTTTCCTATTTCACGGTATGAGGGGTAAAGGAGGTTTTCATAGTGTTTGAAACAATTCTGTGGTTAAGTAGATCGTGGAACCATAAAGCACATATCTGTGGTGTCATGAGTTTGTTAATTGTGATAAGAGGCCACCAAGAAAACAAAACCACGAAAGTAAAAATGTATTTACAGTAGTAAATATTATATCATCACATGTCAACAGTAGACACACACTGACTAACAGCATTTTTGACTGCAAAGGTTTCAATTAAGAATCATTTAGTGTAAACAAAACCATGTTTCCTGACTAAAACCCCAAGCAAATAGTTATCTAGTCAATCAAAAATTCACCAAAATATTACCCATCAATATCTTCTATTATACCGAGGTTAAATGCAGAACACAACTGAAATCGACTATGATGAAAACAAAGGAGTTTCAGTAGAAAGTTCCTCCCCCAGGGAGTGTATAAATAAAGGGCAAATTTTGTGATAGAAATTTGGTCGTGCACGGATGCCCCCTGTAAAAATTCCACTGCGAAACCTATGGGTTCAACAAAATTTCGGGACCTCTTAGTCGGGTTATTTCTGGAGATCGTACAATTCGCATCCGTCCTGTTTTGTTTTGTTCTTATGGCTTCCTTTTAGATCTGACTGAAGAGGTGTGATAAGCTTCGTGAACGCCAGGGAGCTCTCAAAACGGAGCCTACTTCCCGACAGGACCTATCAATCATGATGCTCATGTGTGAGTGTGTGTGTGCAAACCCCGGCAACTTTACCTTTTTGCATGTGTTGCTGGTCCGATTCTTCTCAACTTTACCTCACCACAGCACCCTCTCTAGATGAGGTAGCTAGTCCGAGCCCCGATGACCGCGCTGTGCCCTTGCCGTTGTCAGAATTAGACGTGTTTTTCAGTGATTACGACGGACATGTAAATAATCTTGGCCCACTTCTTTGAATCAAAATGGCGCGAAATAATGTTATACAGTCCCATATGAAAGACGGGCTCTGATTGGTCAATTGCACTGAGCTGAAGCTCAGTCTGGGATAAACATTCCTAACTCAAGTATGCTTTCTGTCAATTTTTATGAACCTAGTTGTTGGTAATATTCAAATCACATGAAACTGATCCTCTGAAATGTAAAATATCACGATTCTTACTCTTTGTGTCCAGAAATTTTAATCTAAGACGCTTGCAGATCTAACCAATCACAATGGAGGTTTCAAAGCTCTTCTTTTCATCTGATTGCAAAGATTCTTGGGAAGTGCCTTTTTCACTTCCCTTTTTTTTATTATGTCATATTTTTGTCTTTCCAGAAATGTCTCATAAAAACATGTTGATAGATGATTTGATTGCAAATTGTCGCAGAAAATTTTCTCCGGAAGAACAATCATAGGTTAAAGGTTAGATGTCGTGACCTGTAAACGTCACGCGCGCCAACCAGTGCGTGTGCCAAGGACTTCCTTGTTTTGTTGTTGTGTGGAGTTGACGACATTTTATCTCCGTTGTTTGTGGGTCTATATGTGTCAGGTTCCCCCGAGTTATTCCAGTAATCCGAAGTATCCATGCCACGACGCCGAAAGACGGGAGCCAGGGGTGGCAGCCCTGAAAAACAGGCGGCGAACGGTGCCAACAATGAGCCCGAGCTCGGTCGCACAATGTCGACATCCTCGGACGACGGCGCGGGAAGCGCCGCGGAACTCAGTCCCAAGGAGCGGGAAAAACTCGTCGAGCAGCTGCAAGAGATGTTCTCCAAGCAGCTGGACCCGGGAGTGGTCTACATCGTCCTTGCGGAGAGCGATTTTAAAGGTAAAATCGACACCACATAGTCTAGAACATCTTAGTTGTAACAAGAATGTTCTTTGTTCGCTACAGCAAGTCGTAACGCACGCATGTGTGGCGCCATTCTTCTCGGCCAACAGAATCACCTGGTCTTGTACCCCCAGGCGACTACTTAACCGTAACATCCCCACATCGCGTTCTTCCCATTTCAGAGCAATCATCGGTTGATCCGGGGATGAAAACATAGCTTTTTAATATAATACACAACTTGTATGTAGTCACGCATGGTGTTGTAGAGCCATTTTTGGTGACATCATTTTTTCAGACGTGGCTCAGTCCCGTGCTTCTGGTGTTGAGTCGGCCGGAAGTAAACATTTCAGCATTAGTGTACGCATTCCTCTTATCAATGGTGGTCGTATATTCCAGCCGTGGAAACCCAAGCTTTGCCTGTGTAATACTTTTACGAATTCCTTCAGTCTACAACAAGTATTGTCTTTCTAATAAGCACAATTTTAGGTGTAAACCAGTTTGCTTTAATGTCTTTATGTTCTATGATAAACAAAAATGGGCAAGGCTGAACTTTGGCTTCTTTATTCTCCCAGTGTCACAGTTTCACTTGCAAACTTCCTTTGTTTTAAGAGTACAAATCTGGAGATTTACTCTGATGTCTAGACAATTATGCTGATGCTTGTATTAGCCACACCACCTGTGGAATATTTCCATACATACATTATGCAAGTCACCATGTTGTGTGTGGGTTCACCTGTTGAGCACTATCGGATTTCAGGCAAACATGCCAGCCTTTGGCGACAACTAAATCCTTGCCCAACCCCGTATTCATTAGTGTAAGACACATTTGTATTACAGTTACTTGAGTAAGTGGAATGAGTTTGAAGTCTAACGTTTCTAAACTATTGTGTTCACAGGTGTTAATTAATTACCCATTATCACTACTATTGTACCTTTATTGTTACAGGTAAGCGTTACATGGAGTAGAATACTCAATACTGGAAATACAGAAACTTTTGCAGTGGTTATATTGTCATGTTTTTTGCTGTGACCTCTTACTGTGAAATCATAACACAGCAAGTATGTGTTTATAGTTCTGCTGTATTAAAGAATTGTTTCAACCACAATCGTCAAACAACATGAAAATCTCCTTTTCCGTCCTACTGCAAAATGAAACCACCACAAAGGTAAATGCATTAACCGTAAGTGGAACGAGTTTCAATGCAAACATTTCACACCTGTGGTCTCTACCTGAGTTCTTAAGAACAGGTGTTAGTCACTTATTATCACTACTATTCCTCCTTTGTTGTTATACATAGTGGACTACTTAGATACATGTAGATATGTGTTGTTTTGTCTGCCTGTGTTGTGAAGCAGGTACTGTATTGTTACTTCCATGCAGTACTTGTATTCAGTGATGTTTACGATTCGCTTCATGGATGCATGCAAAGTGGACCATTGAGTGCATATCAGATATAGATGTGATTTCTGTTAAGCCATCTTCTCTGATTTCCAGATAACATACTATGTAAATGGTATTACATGTACTGTAAATGCAGAAACTTTCGCCATAGTTATATGTATTTATACAGTGACCATTACTGTGAAATCATAACACTGTAAATATGTGTTTTATAGTTCTACTGTACTAAAGAGCTGTTTAAACTGAGAACGTTAAACAATGCGAAAGCCTCCTTTTCCCTCTGTTGTTAAATAAAACTGCTGCGAAATGTATCTACAGTATTGAGAGAACATGATTGTTTTAACCTTCTGCAGGCTAAATTAGCCCTTTTGTTCCAAATTGGTATTGGCCATGGCACGCACATGGTAAACCCATTGAACAGGTAACTTAACCTTTGCCCAACTAACCCATGAGATTTATAGGTAGCAGACAGAGGGTTAACCTGGGCAAGAAATGATAACAACGCTAACATTCACATCAAAAAGGTACTACTAGGGGCATGTGTGTATAATTATGTATGTTGGAAATGGTCCAGAACAAGAATACATGCACTGGTCTAAACTTGGCTTCCTGTGCCAAAGATCACATTTGACACGCCTGGAAGCACTGTGGCAGGGTTTCTTGGAATAAGGGATGTTGACGCTTGGTTTGTATACCTTTTTTCCTGAGATTCAGTCAGGTTAATTAGAATGTGTACGGAAATGCGGGTGTCAGTGTTCAGGTGTCTTGTCATCTTGCTAAAAAAACAAACGGACCATGAAACACAGTTTTTGCATGTGGATTGTTTGGAAAAATCAGCATGTCAAAATTAATGGAAAGGTACCGCTAATTATGAAATTATGATTCTGCCTGGAGAGACAATTCACACCATTATTGGAAAAAAGACTGGGAGAGAAGTCCAGAAAGTGTTTTTATATGGAATATACTAAATACAAGCATGTTGTCCAAGCACAAATATCCCAAATGACATGTAATATCATTATGTACAGTATACATTGAGAACAAAATACAGTTTTGTATTTTGTAGTAGTGCCAGGTGTTGACAATGTATTGTTATCTTAAAGAAAGAAAGATGCAATTATTCGCCTTCCTGAAAATTTGAAGCCTGGGGCAGGTACTAAGTAAGGAACTATAGAAACCATCTCACGAGTGACCAGTATGTATTACCTGTGAGCTGCTTACCTGTCCAACCGGGTCTGGTAGCGGTCCCAAGGGATGAATTTAAGGCTGACCAGGGCGTGGTAATATCTTGTGACACAATGGTCAGTTTAATTGTTTTTATTGTTTATTCTTCAATCTGTTTTTGCTATGTTGATTCTGGAGACTTAACTATATTTTGTCGGCATAATTTGCTTTTATACATTATTTCATTTTTATTATACTGTCAATTTAGTGTCATTTTACTCTATTCATCAAGTGGTTGATCTTAAATGAAATTTGGTCAAATTATTTTCCTAAATTCAGATTGTATCATCAATGTTTCTTCCAGTTCCTTTTGTTGTCAGCTCGGTGAGTGATTTTAATTAGATTGAAATATACATGTCTGATCCCTCAGCTAGCATGATGTTAGATGCATGTAACAGTACTATAATGTTAGTCATCTTAACAAAACTTCTTAAGCCCACAGGGCAGAAACTGCCACTAAATTACATAAGCCAGATGACCTATTTCTAGTCCCAGAATAGGTCTGTCATGAATTCGCCGTAACTAGCTTGACCTTTCCCACAGTGTAGGGCTTAGCCTTGAGAATGTGTTTCCTACAAATGTGTTGCTGACTTTACAGTTGTTTGTAAGCCTTAAGACATGTACGTAATTAAACCAGCTGGTGTTAAACACTGCTACATGTACAGGTAAGCCATAATCCTTTCAAAAACGAAAGTAATATATTCTATTGTTAGATGATTTCTCACATTTGCTCTTTGACAGTGTTTTTGATATGACCCTGACTTAAAATAACGCATGCTATGGGCCCTCCCCACCTCAGTGTAACAGTGTAACGTTATCAGTCTACTACACTGCTTAAGAGCCACTTTACCTTGCCAATTAATGTACTCAGTACATTATACCATTTTCATGGCATTGATAGTCTGTGCTATTGATTGAGTGTGACTGAGTAGGGTCACTTTAGGCTGCAGTTGATAATCTATGGCTATATACAGGTAATGGACTTTGTACATGATCACGTTCCTGGTAATGCATTTTTTTTTTAAATTTCTGGATTGAAACTCAGCTTATAGAGTCTAGTTTTGAACACAGTGAACAAGGTGAATTGGACCCAGTGACGTCATACTTTAACGTTCGTGACGGTTGTAAGGAAGACACTTAAGAAGAATGATGGTGATACTTTCAATGCACTCACACACGTACAGAGAACTAATATGGAAGTACTACGCAGGAGAGAAGACACCATGACGCAATGCCTCAGGTAGCCTAAGTGGGGATGAGTACAAAAGTACGCACTTCGCATGCCTCCGGGACTTACTTACTAACCACAAGTGATGTGCGGGGTCACTGCATTGAAGAATGGAAGGTCGGCTAGCGAGGGTCTTCGAGTGGGGATTACATCATCTCAGAGAGACGTGTGTTTGGTTGTAGTCAAGCCTCAGGGTTGGTGTGACATTCTAGTCGTGTAGGTTTCTGTTGAAGCTTGCAAGTTGTGTACTGGATGACGTTTCTGGTCGCTAAAGCAAAATACAGCGTAACGTTTGAAGGCTGTCATTCATTGACACGTAAAATCAGTCAACCAGACAAGCATGTAAATTCATGCATTGTAACACTGTGTTTCTCTCACATGTCTGTGTAGAATTACTAGAAACAATACAAGCTGTTTACTGGCAAGGAATATTTTGTTTCATAACTTGCACTAAATGTGAAAAGGAAAATATAGCAAAACATTTGAAGGCTGTCGTTGAGTTGTACAGTCACTCAGACGGTCTGCCATGTAAAACCCACTACAGATTAACCAGACAAGGGGAACAAACGTGCAGATCCAATTTTGAACCAAGGCCAAACCGACCCCGCAGCCGTTACTGGACCAGAATACTAATTAGCAGAAGGGTGATTATGGCAGAGTAGTTCACCGCTGTATGGCGGGCTTTTCTGTGGCATTTTGTGGAACACAAAATGTTCTATCCTCACATGAGTCACATCTGATGTTTGGTATGTTCTTTGTATTGGGTTACAGGCAGAATGCCATTATATGTAACATGTGCAGACATGAGGTTGTATATTGTTTGGTTGGTATAATCGGTATGTAGGTTATGACGTCAGACTTATACCATAATACTAGTAGCTAATCTTGTGTCGATTTTGCTATCTTCGAATGTGTGAATTAGAATGTTAAGCATCAGACTATGGTAGAATTCCTTGCCATCTTAATGTTTTAGTTAACCACAAATCTTTATATCAATGTATAGCATTATAATTGTTTTGTAATATTTTATTTGGGTGTCAAAGTTGAAAAAAAGCAAATGGGAAAACCTGTGACAACTAGGAAGGCAATGATTTTGTTCACCTGTTGATGCCAAAATATGAGCATTATGGGGGCTAGGTGGTAGATACTCATTTCACCTGAGTTGAGTAAGGAAATGTTGCTTTCCCAAGGGCAGAACATTGAGCCTGCCAGAGATTTAAACCCAGAACCTTTAGATTCTAAAACAACAACCCTAACTCATGAACACATTGCCAGCATATGTAAAGCTGATATCCCTGTCTGACAATCTTCTCCTGTGTTTCTGCAGTTGAAGAAGCCGATGGAGGACCTCCTCATGCTGGCATGTGAAGCCGACAAGAACGCCAAACCCGGGGGCAGGTCCGTCTACCCACCAACGTTTTCTCTCAGATAGCCACCGAGCTGGTTTCACACAAGAAGCATCCCGCCACCCACGCAACTAAAGAAGCAAAGCCGGAAGCCAAAAACACATCAGGTTCTGTCCAAGATGCATCTGCTGCACAACCGAGCTCTGTGGAGGAACAGGCTTCACACATAGACACACCACCGACCACTGTTGCAGACACAACGGCAGGGTACTATAGTTTCTACGGCGCGCCGCTTGGTTTTCCAGCGGAGAGCAGATTTTCCGACCCGTCTGTGATAGCAGTCGGAACGATCGACTATCAGGCGTCCAGCAAGCTCGCAGAGGAAGCGTCTGGAAAGTCCCCGTCTAAACAGCCTAACACCTCACCATCCAATCACAGCACAGACTGCTCTGAAAAAGATGAAAGCTCTGACCCCTCTTTGAAAGACAGCTGCCCCACAGACCATCCCCTCCCCAAAGAGTCGCTCATTCCCGGTGAAGCTGACTTCTACATCACCTGACAATGAGGTAAACCTACAGACAGACAAGGAACTCTCCAGGGTACAAAACTTACCCTCGGAATACTCCCTTTTTGGTGCTAAACACTCCCCTCATGTTGCAAACGGACACCACACTCACCACGCGGGCACCTCACGTACCTCTGGGGGCTTGGATGACTCCCCCATGGCTCACCTTCGCCAGGAGAGCAATGTTGCTGCTGACTTTACCTTCCCTACGACCTTGAGAACAGACGAAGGTCAAGAAAACAAACTGCTCCACAGAACTTTCAACAGAAAGTCCGTTGGAGCAGACAGCCCATCTACAAGGATGCTGAAGAGCAAAAAGCCCACGCTGAACCTTAAGATACCATTCGGGGATGAGAACACGCATATCGAGATTTATAGTGAGATTCAGACACCCCTTTCTCCTGGTGTGTTTGACTTTGATGATGACGAAAAGCCCCTGGGCAAGCCAGAAACCCCCAAAGTCAAAAACCCAATTTCAAAAGCTGCTATGGAAGCTTTCCAGTCCTTTGTTGAGACGGACACCCCAAAGAGTCAGCAGGATAGCTTTGATAGTGCCGAGGATAGTGACGATGATGCTGCTGACATCCTCTTTTCCCTCCCTGCTAGCGTTAGAGAACTGTCCCCCTCCCTGTAACCACAGAAGACAGCTTGCAGGCAAGCAATGATGCTAAACAGTCAGAACATGAAAATGAAAAATGTGCCATGTCTAATGAGGAAACAGTGTCTAATCATTCCAAAAGCAGCAATACAGAAACTTCCTCTGTACCCCAGTCTCCTACCGAGGAAGACAACAAAGATCATTCGGCTGATGTAACCAGTAAATCCTCCAAATCATCTTCTTCTTGCTCCTCTCCTGATAAATCTGCCTCCGCGGCGTCAAAGTCCCCAAATCTCCTCTTCAAAATCCTCCCCAGAGTCATGAACTATCCCTCTGCAGCCTCTTCTCCTGACACAAATGTCGAGGCAGACAAAGAAGTTGCAGAGATTATGGAAAAGGCCCAAAGTTCGAAGCTATCTGTTGACGTACCTGAGTTTGTTCCAAAACAGGGTAACCTGATGACACCGGGCGACTTTGTCCCCCCCATGGTGCCGGCCGGTCACCCTGTACCCTACCCCTCCGAATACGCAATGCACTTTCCTCACCCAGCGTCCGACCCATACTGGCACCCACGGTTTGGAATGCCGGTCCATCCCCCGTTCTTCCCCCATCCCCCTCGCATGCATGTGTACGGTCCCCACATCGCCAGGTTCCCTCCCCACATCCCCATGTACCCCGCACATCCGGTGGTCTCCTCCCCCATCCACCCGTCCATGTTGAAAGGTGGAGCCGGCTCCCCGCTGGTCTTACCTGACGGTAAGAGCCCCCAGGTTCCAAACGAAAACCGCCTCTTCGGACCCCCTTTTGTCCTACAAGACACGCCATACGTGTTATCAGATAGCCCGTTTCCCAAAGAGGGTAACACATCATCAAAGTCCAGCACCAAGGAAGAGAAAAAGGGAGCAGAGGTTGACCGTCGCATTGGGTCACCGCTGATCATGTCAGATGGAAAGCAGGAAAGTGACACGGCCTCGGAAGCATCAACGGACGAAGTGAAAAAGGAGAAGAACATTGTCACACCAGTCGGGAAGAAAGTCAAAACTGCTGGGCCGAAAAAGCTGTATGTGCTGCGTGGGTGTCCGGGTAGTGGGAAATCTACCCTGGCAAAGTAAGACAATTTTATATGTACTTCAAACTGTACTATATTGCAGACTGTATCTATGTATGACTTCTCTTTTTGTCTGATCCAGCTTTGGAATTGAATAAGCAATCATGATAGTAAGCTATAGCCAGATTGCTGGAATTCTTATTTGCAATAACTATTGATAATCTCAAAGCTGTTTTTCTTGTCTTCTTTATTTTCACGGTTTTAAGTTATTATTACATAACAATCTTTTTTAAGGAAAGCGTTTGATCTATTTTTTTTCTTTTGAAGGAAATTGAAAGGGAACAAGGGTGTAATCTTGAGTACAGATGACTTCTTCATGAAAAAGGACAAGTATGAATTTGATCCCTGTCAACTCGGTGAGGCCCACGCTTGGAACAAAGAGAGAGGTAATCTTCAGTTGGTTTTCTGTGGTGGGAAACCAACTATTATCCCATTCAAGGCATGATTGCCAACGGCAAGTCAATTATGCGTTATAATAGGGATGGTCAGATTATTTTTAGAAGTAAAAGGGCGTGGTTGGTTAGAGGACAAATAAACTAATTTCAGTTATGGGGCCTTTGAACACCAAATGCTGTTTGCAAAAGGTGATATCGATTCATTAGTTTCTATAATAGTCTCGTACATCTTGGGGGTGATATTTGACCAAAATCGATGTTTACGGTTGATGCCTGCCTGATCCACCAAGAGGCACGACAAGACCTATGACGTCAATTCAAGCCTGTGACATCAATTAATCAGAGAGTTGACAATTGGTTGGAAATCAGTCCTGAGGGAGTTGTCAGTGTGGGGCTGAAAGTCAGGATTGTTGGGAGTGGGTACTGTTAATCACTTTATATTTGCAGTAGTAAAATTTCACGGTCTGGGAAAAATGATCCCTGAACTATATGTTAGCGGTGGCGGCAGGTGTAGAAGAAAGAAAGTGGATGAATTAGATGTTCACGGTACAGAAGCAAAAACCGCAAACAAAAAAGTGCCACAAATATCAAGTGATTTACAGTAGTAGGTCATATACTGGTTTTGAAGTGGTTGTGGCAAAATACAGGGCTGGCGTGTCCTAAAACTGGTCAGACTGCTCCCAAACGTAACGCCAACCTTGGTCAGGGGAAGGTCTTGAATGTGTGACAGGGGCTTCATTGTCTCACAATTGTTGACCCTGCATTAAGACATGGTTGGTTAGCTCTAAATGTGTCTGTATCGGTATAACCACCCTTGTTAATTTGTGACCTGGGGCTTTGCCATGTCTTATCTTGACCCACAAGGCTTCAGAAGCGCAGGACAAATGAATTATTGATGAACATGTTGTTTGTTTGTGATGGAACACAGATGATGAAAAGTGACAAGTCATGTGGCAGTTATGTTGCTCACAACACTTCATTTAATTTGAATTCCCAATTAGACTCATAGTAATAAATCAAGTTATTTTGTACACAATGTTCTGTTGCCTGAACATTGTTGCCACTTGCATGAATGAAATCATTTAAAGAATGGGAAATGTACATACTTGTGTTTCAGCTGAACTAGCCATGAAAGTTGGTATGACACCAGTCATCATAGACAACACCAACACTGAACGCTGGGAGATGAAACCCTATGTCATCCTGGTGAGTGGAACTTGATTGGAATATGTTCATTGTGTGTGAGGATGTGTGTGTGTAGTTGCCATACATCCGCCATGTTGATACGTATTTTTCTGTAAAACTTAGTTGCAAAACAGTACGACTGCAATGATTGCCTTCTTTAAAATGCTACTATCATCATGATGGTAGTGTCATAACATTTAACTATATCTTTTTTTTTCTCATAGGGAGTGAAGTATGGGTATATGATAGAGATTAAAGAGCCCAACACACCATGGAAGTTCAAGATTGGAGAGCTATCCAGGTGAGTTTTATTTACAACATGTATGAAGGAAGATTTACCATTCACTGTAGAAGGATGGACATAACTGTCAATCCTTCTATAATGACTTTCATCTGCTCAAGATGTCAAACCTGAGTCAAGTGAGGCAATAGGTGTGCCTTTCCTAAGGACACAACACGGAGTCCTACCAGGGGTTCAAACCCACAACCTTCAGATTCTGAGTCAACAACCCTAACCACAAGACCAGCTTGCTACCAAAACACCTCGAGTTTTGCAGGAGCCACGCCCTGGGATTTCTATTCATGACCCTCGCTTGTTATTCATGATTTCAAACAGAAGCCGGCCAATCATATCATGCCACCCGTAGGGCATGTTAATGCTGCAGACAGGCAAATTAATACATATTTTGGGGTGACAAATATAGATACTAATGCTGTAAATACACTGTATGTCTTAGACTTGTAGTATCGTGGAATGTGTAAAAAGGTAACAGTACAGTCAGAACATGAGCCAGTGCAGGTTAGGGCATAAATACCTGCACAGCTCCAATTTTACCTGCACTAACCTGCATATGCAGGTGGTATTTCCAGCCCTCAGGCTGTAATATATATAACATGTCTGGGTAGAGACTCCCATCTGATTGATGATTCTGCCGGTAGAGCTCCTAATCGGAGTCTTTGTCAATAGGGCCTCTGATCAGGATGTGTCCTAAATTTGAAGTCAATCCATCAATCTAAAGTGACATGGCTCAAAGTTGAAAAGTCCTGACTGTCCTCTAAGAGAATATATTATAATGTACAGACTTCAGTTGGGACCTCAGCTGGTAGAATTGCTGTACTGGCAGAGATCTTGATCAGAGTTTCTATTGACAGAGATGCCAATCGGGATCTCTGCCAATAGAATGGTCAATTCTACCAGATTGGAGTCTTGACACTGACATATATCAACTTCAAGAAAGCAAACATGCAGATATTTAAGTGGCTCCTATGAGCCTTGTTTTGTGGTGAACTATTAAGTAAATAAAAAAAAAATATTCTGAAGGGATGTCTGACACACTGTCCTTTTCAACCAACAGGAGGAACAGCCATGGTGTTGCCAAGGAGACTATCAAGAAGATGCTGGACCGTTATGAGAAGAACGTGACTGTGGAGAGCATCATGAAGGGGATGTCTGAGCAGAAGATCGAACAACAGCGGGCCAGCAAGGAGGCGGCCAAACAAGCAACAACTAGCAGGTAAGAGATGAAACACAAGGAATTGGACATACCCAAATTTTAGACTGTACAACTCCAGGCTAGGAATGAGCAATCCACCGCTTCTGTGACATCACGATTTGGAAACAGAACATGTGACTTGGTGAGCAGTGGATCAAAGGTCGCAGAAAGTTTGTGGCGCCCCCTGTCTCTGAGAGATGATTTCAATGTTCTGATGCAGACAATTTCTTTTGTGTTTCAATGACTGTCTGTCATCTTCATGCAGGGCAATTATATTGATCATTGAAACATCGGCTAATTGTTAGATTATTGGTTGCAGATAGAGAACTTTGTTATTCAATCATTCAATAACCTCATGAAATTATTAATTTTACAGATCTCTGATTTCTTATTTATTACTGTTTCCCACAGTGTGAAGAATAAGGAAGTTGTGCAGTCCAAGTCCAAGCAGCCCTCCACCTCAAAAGGTGGCAAAAGTGTCGTCACCAACAAGCCTTCCCAGGATGCCGCTGGCAACAAGCCAGCCGAAAGCTCTTGGCCCTTCCCAGTCATCCTCAAGGACAACAAAAAAGCAAACGCCAAGAAAAACAACAAGACCAAAGCCAAGAAGAAAGACGCAGAGGAAGAATGGCTAAAGGTGACTCACGGATCTAGACAAAAATCTCCCTCCCCTGTCACAACACCAGAAAGAAGTGTAGAGAAGAAGCAGTCTGTTGTCAGCAGTAAAGAAACATCCAAGGCAGACAACAAAATCATGTGCAAAAGCAATCCTAAGTCAGATGTTCCCAAAGAGATGAAAGGAGAAAAAGTAATCAATGCAGCGCAAGAAGCAGCAAGTTTGTTAGGTCTGCTTCCTGACAGACCAGACCCTGTAACGGCAGACAGTACAGTAACTGTAAGCTCAGACTGGGATGTTGGGTCTTCTCCCAAACCACAGAGGGATACACATACCAAGAAAGGCCTTGATTCCAGTTCACAAAGTCTCGTTGAGCAGAAAACATCAGAGTTGCCAAGAACTGCTGATTCTGTGAATGTTCCTGCTACCGGTGATTCCCAAGACGTATCCTCAGACCAGGCAGTACATGACAGCTCGGATGACTGGGGGGACAACAGTCGATCAGCCAAGCCCAAACGCCAGACCAGGAAGAACCGCCTGGCTGCCGTGTTCAGCACGGAAGTGAAGGACAAGGCCCTGAAGGAGAACTGGAGTTTCCCGAACCACCCTGACGGCAATGGGACAGACGCGGAGACAACGACCTTTGCTGAAGGTCATCAACCAGACGAAGATGACCTTGTCGAGGAAGTTAGCACAACAGAGGCAGCCACCAACACCAATCCTCTGTACTTCTCCATCATACAAAGGGTGCAGTCTGGGACTCCGGTTGGGGTGGTGGACGATAATGTTAGGATCCTCACCGGAAAGGTCATGACCTCTGACGTACCAGCCTTGCCTGGCGAGAAACCTGACACCCAGGAGGAGACAAAAACATCCGCCGCGCCCTCCAGTCCCAGGCGGCAGAGGCTGAAGCTGGAGAAAGGCTGCTCCACGGATGACATTCCATCAGAGAGGACGCACACGGGCGACCTCGGCTTCCTGCAGAACTGCTTTCCCTCCGTCTCCGTCGAGGACCTGAGAGACTTCTACGAGTAAGTGCAACCACGAGCTGGAGTGGACCATCAACCTCCTGCTGGATTCTGGGATTGAGTATATCGAACCGACAAAGTCCGAACATTCCACAGAAGACAACGGTCCCACCAAGGATGTGACAGAAGAAGAGAAAACAACAGATGCAGCTGCTGATGTAGATGAAACACAGGAATCTGAGCCAACTCATAATCACTCAGAAGAGATGATGTCAGTCCAAGAGCCAACAACAGTGACCTCTTCCACCCATGACACAAGTGTCATGCAAATCCCAACATCAGTCAATATCTTTACTGGGTTATTGACAGGTGATGTGAATGATGATGACATGTACTCATCCAATCCAGGATCAGCAAGAACCAATGAGGAACCAGAGAATTCCTCGAGTACCCCTGTGCAAGAAAATGGCTTAGACATCAGCTCTGCAGAGTCGTCAAAAGAAGAAGTCCAAACTAGTACCACCTCTGATACAGAACGCAGTGGTTCCAATGAGAATGCTGACAGTTGCAAACAACAACCCAAGTGCCAGATAGCAGTGCCTTCCACGTTTGAGAGTGATGAAGAGTATGAATCTGCGGATGAGGAGGTAGCATCAGACATTGACGCTGTTTTATTACAAGCGATGAAAGGAGGGCTATCGCCCGGGGCTTTGTACGCCACCACAGTAGACAAAGCAGCCTGAGCAGTCTGACTAGCTCAGTCCTAAGCTCCACTGACCAAGAAACTCTTAGCTCTGTGGAGACTGACCAAGTGCCTGTGGATAGAATGGTTGCCTCAGCAAGTAGTCAGCATAACAGTCCGAAGGAACCAATTCCTGTGGTACAGACTCCTGTGGACAATAACATTGCAGAGAACAAAGTGGCAGCTTGTGTTGAATCTGTAGAACGGCACACTGGACAAAGTGAAGACACAATACATGTAAGTTTTTCTTTTTTTTTAGTTTCTAGGGTCAACATTTGAGTGAGTTTTCAAAATAATTCATATTATTTACAATAACTTGGTAGTTGGTGGCGATTTTTGGTGAAAGTATATCACATTTCATGTGGAGTATCTGTAACTTTTAAGCAACTATTGTTAAAATGGTGCACTTCAAACAGTTCTTTGATGCCATTGTTTTCAACTTGTGGTTACCAAATAAACACCATTTTTATTATAAATACAGCAAAATACAGAGGATTGGGTAGAAACTCCTAAAGTCTCAGAAGAAACAACTAACCTGAAAGAGACCACCAGACTGTCTGTGGGTAAGACAGTGGGACCCACCATGTCTGAACTGGCCCTGAGGATGGACCCGCAGTTTGCCAAGCAGCTGTTAGAATTATTTGGACCTGTTGGCTTCCACATAACTCCAGGTGGGAGTCTTTCATTTCCCGTGATAAATGTTCTCAATACACGGTATACTGTAAAAAAAATCAGTGCAGAACTTCAATGGTTAATTTCACGGTTGGAAGGAAAATGAGGTTTTCACAGTGTTCGAAGTTGATGCTCAAAACAATATTCTGTAGTGCAGTAGACCTTCAAGAACACATATTTGTAGTGCTTTTATTTTGTGGTTGGAGGTCATTAAAAAGATAAAATCACAGTAAAAGTTTCGGCATTTATGGTACATTTTGAATATATGTAGCAAAAGTTATGTAGCAAAAATTATGGTAGTTACACATATGGTAGTTTTTATTGTCCTTACTCAAGGACAGTTATGGGTGAAACTTTACTTTCTTTATTTCAGGGTCATTGTCAGAAGAAGATCTGTATGTTCAAGTTGACTACAAAACAGCCAGGAGAATTCATTACAAGTGGACGCAAACTCAGAAGGTAAACTATATACATATACGTATAATACATAATATATAATACCCCGACTTTGGCAACTGGCGGGAGCACCTGCTTTCGACTTGAAAAGTTTAAAAAGTGTGTCTGCTATTAGAGGAAATATGGTAGGAAGAAAACAAGCATAACTAAATAGTGCCACCTATGGATGTTACATGGTACTGCACCATCTGTCAACAGTACCAAAAGATGAGGTAGTGAGCGAACATTACCTAAAGCCTTCCCATCTGATTCCACAAATACAGGCCAAGTTTGACGAACAAGAAGAAGCTATGGAAGCCATGGAAGCTAGAATCAAAGAGGGTAAGTCAGAAATTTCCCGTTTCTTTTTTCTTTTTATTTGCTTGCTCCATCATTTGCCAGAAAAAAAAAAACATGAACCAAGAAATCAAATTAGTGTGGCCTGATGTGAATATGTTGATGTCAATTAGATGAGGCCTTAGCAAGAAAGCTCCAGGAAGAAGAAGACTTTGCAGTGGCGCTGCAGATGAAGGAGAAGGAGGAGGAGTCAGCAAGACATGCCAGGTCATCCCAGTGCAGGAGTCCTGTCCGATCTCTGGCCGCACTGTCAGCAGAGGTCGGACGGAGAACAGCACGGTCAACCGTCACGGCGCTGACCGACATCATGAACGAACAACTGGCTCTGGAAGTCAGCAAACAGGAACAGGTAAGGGCTCAGTCTTACAGCTGGATTGATATTTGAATGTAAACTTTTAAGGTAGTCCCTTAGCCGTGGGGCAGTGGGTTGTTAATCCACTGTGTCTAGGCATGATATTGAAAAGTGTGGCTTATCCATCTCCATCCATTGCCTTTTACCTCCCTAACTGAAGTCAGATACCTATTTTATACCTGAGTGGAATGAGGAAAGTCGTGTTAACTGCCTTTCCTAAGGACACAGCGTCTGGCCCGGAATGTCAGGGATTGAACCCACAACCTCTCGATTTAGTGTCTGCTAGCCTGGCCACTCGGCCATTTGATACCGGTACTGTGGACCCATATTTAAAAGAAGAACTTAAATGATTTTTAGTGTACCAGTACACAGCACATGTTGATGTTTCTCTACCCCCTGCTGTTCCAGGCTCAGAGTGCAGGACCTCGGCAGGATGAGACTCTTGCTACCAAACTGAAGAGAGAAAAACTGTTCAGCATGTTCCCACGGATGGACAGGGGGGTGCTGGAGGAGATCTTCTCTGCGAACGGGTAAGTGGACAACTGTTACTTTTCTGGACTTGTATTAATAGTTCTTGTAACCAATCAATCAATCAATAAACCAATCAATCAATCAAACAACTGTTTTGACTTACACATGTAACTGTACAACAATTGTAACAGATACAATGTATGACAAGTTATACAAGTTGGTAAATAGTACTATGATTATATGATACAGATATGTATACTGTAACTATTCTAATATCTACACTATTCTATTCACAGTGGACAGGAACTACATACTAACAAATTTAAAGAATTGTCAGAATGCACAGGAGACATTACACACTTGTGTCTGAGATAATACAATGTCTTTTGTGTAGATATTTATTAAACCTAGATTTATGGAAATTGTACCTTGCTGTCAGATGTAAAATTATCTCTTTCCTCAAAAAAAAAAAAATGTGCTTAAGGCTGTCAACACAGCCATTGGCAAAAATTATGTATAGTCAAGTTGTGTATGTTGTATATTTGAGTGAACAACACCAAATCTTTGTATTGCATGCTGTTCTAAGGACCAAGACAGCACATACAAGGTACCAATACATGAGATTGCCAAGTAGAGTTTGGTTCATCAACATACAATGTAGTACAAATGGACATGTGACATAGCTAAAAAGCCAATTTTGTAAGTACGAATTTCAAAGTACATGTAACAAGAGATGTTGTTCCTCCATCTTGTCTCAGGTACCAGTTGGATCCCACGGTGAACGCAGTTGTCGTGTCAGATCACATGACTGCGGCGCCAGCCCGTAACGTGATGTCAGACGCGGCGCTGAAGCTGTACGAAGATCAGCTGCTGGAACAGGCCAGGATACAGAGTCAACAGGAGGCCGCCGCACAGGTAAGGCAGGACTGACTGGTGCTGGCAACAGTTTTACATTTGTACATGGATGATGGAACCTGTGTGATGCACATTGACTTTTTATAAAACATCCACAAATATCCATTCTGAACAAGTCCATGTTCCACAAAGCTCAAGCTTATTGCTAGGAATATGTTCTGGTTAGGAGTGCCATGTAATTATTCTGAGTTCCAAGTCAAAAGGAAGTTCTACATTATTGGGTCCACACTACATAATATTGGCCCTTATTATAAGCTTATGCAACAGGTGCTAAATGAGGTATCTTTATGTTTATATCAAGTTTCTATACAAGGTTTTTAAACTACACAGTGCAATTGTCATTCTATACCTCATACATTATTATTATCATATGCAGGCCCAGGCCAGTTCCCTGCCTGCTATAGTTGTGGTGGACCGGCAAGCAGAGGCCTTCCAGGAGACTGAGGAGCCAGACTATGAGGACTTCAGGACGGAGGCTACCATACACTACAAACAGAGGCAGGAGTGCTTCCAGAAGGCTGCGACAGCCTATCAGAAGGGACAGAAGGAACTGGCTTTCTACTATGCTCAGCAGGTTGGACATTTTCAAGCATTTATCTAATGTCAAAATACAAGGCAGGATTCGACCCTAAATCTAGTGAAAAAGAATAATTCAGAGAGACCACCAGAGACTTGGAAATGGAAAAAGAATCATTTAGGGTGACTCCTCTGTAATATGAAAATGACCCGACATGTATGTGTAGCCTTCATCAGTGTATGATGTTTGACATTGTCATGATTTTTCAACAACTTAGAATACAATTTTTTTAAGTAAATCCTCAAAAGACAAGCTGTGTAACATTGCACTACCATCATTTCTCCCCATACAGGGACATTTGCATACAGACAAACTGAGGGAAGCAAACAGAAGAGCGTCAGAGAAAATTCTGGAGCTCAAGTGAGTATCAATGGAGTCATCCAGATTACAGTTCATAGTACAAATGTACTAATCCTCCAATCATCGTAAGATGGGGACTTAATAAACCTCTTGGGTTGTTGGCATTTTTAGTCTCTCCCTTAACCTACTCCCTGCTAAAGTGGTCTTTTGGCACCAAATCTGCATTGTTTACAGGGTTAGACAGCAGGAAAGTTAGAGTTTCTGCATGTTTGTGTGAAGCTGACTGGTTTTGAACAAATCTGACAAATTCTGTACCTTGCAGTTTTCGCATTTCCAAAATTACCTCTGGTTCTCATCAGTGTTGTTGAATGTTGACCTTAGTTTTTAATGTTTCTGTCCTTTAGGAATGCTGGCCTGGACCAGCTGAACTGTCTGGACCTACATGGACTGCACGTCAATGAGGCCATCGATGCTCTGAAAAGTGTCTTACAAGAAAAGGAGAGAGGTAATACAGCTATAACATGTTTTGATACATGAAAAGGTATGAAAAGGTATGCTTAGGGAGGAAGAAAGAGGTGGTTGGCAACGGACAAAATGGGAGCCAAGGATAATATCAGAGAAAGGACAGGCATGATACTAAGTGGAGGGTGCAAAAAAACTGGGCAAATCATCTGTGGTGCCCCAACAGTCAAATGTTTAGATTAAGGGAGAGATGAGGTGTATGAAAAACCTAGATATCATCAATGAAAAATCAGTCAGTGTAGTCCTAATTAACAGTGGTCTTCAAATCTTCCTGCTCCCCTCAGAGCTCCACCACGCGAGCCCCAGTCGACACCCTGTGGCCAACTACATCTGTGTCATCACCGGGCGGGGCAACAACAGCCGTGGGGGCGTCGCTAGGATCAAACCTGCCGTACTCAACTATCTACGCACAAATGACTACAGGTAGAGAAATATTGCACTTTTATTCTATTCTAGTCATTATTGCCTTTGCCAGAAGGTGATTCTTCTGGGAGTATTTGTGTGTCTGTTTGTCACAAGATAACTCCAAAATGGCTGGATGGATCGGTTTCGTTTTTGTTGTAATGGTAGGATGTGACAAAATCTGGAAATGATTAGATTTTAGGGCAGCTTTCCACGGTACTACAATAGGACTACCAGTTGTGATATCTCGTTCTGGACATACCATGGTCACAATTTTTGGATGGTAGCATCTTGTTTTGCACAAATCACACACCATTTTCAAGTCCATACAGGTCTAAATCATTGCTCTAATCAACTGTAAAATAGCTAATGTAAAAGATATTACAGTGACTAAAGAAATTATTGTTCTTCTGTTTCCAGGTTCACTGAGCCACAGGTTGGACTGGTGAAGATCACCCTGAAATAATCAGCAATGTTCAGATTTCGACACACTTCACGCTCTGCTTGCCCACACTGATGTTTCATCATCCGGAATTTCGTTGTCAGCCACATCTTGCATGTGTTTTGATGATATGCTATTTTCATGCCATGTGATTATCATGAAATGGATTATTCAGTTTGCAATGGGACCAGGATTGAAGGGTTGGAACATATTATAAAGAAGGGGAAATTGTAGGGAGACTTTTAAGGAATATTTTCTTGCATGTGGTATATGGAATATTTCTATGGATTATTCTTACAGGCAATAACTGTTATGTCAACATAATTTTGTACTTAGTTGTAGAACAGTAACTGGTATAGTCACTCAGTTTTATTTTATAACATGGGGAGTCACAATGGTCATGAACTGTTTGGGTAGCCATATTGCATGATCCGTGAATTTTAGGTTGGTGAATGATTGAATAGCAGTGCTCTTGTTAAACAAGTGATTATGAATAAAGAACTTTGCTATTCATATTGCATGTTGTTGGACAAGGCAATTTTAACCTTGTCCATAATAGTACTATGTGTACTATCATCAAAGCATCAAAGCTGTATTAGTTCCAGTAGAAGGTATGAGGACAAGGGTTAAATGGAATATGGAGGAGGGTTATTTTGTATGCATGTGTCTTTGACCCTGACAAGCCATCAGAGATCACATACATTATAACTAAAGATGTTTGCCATGCATGTGTTTTGAAATAAGCCCACCTTTACTGAAGCTTGCCAATATGTTATGGACATTTTTCCGTCGTAGAGGGAAGTATAAAGTTGTAGTACAGGTTTTGGACATGTCTGTGTATATTTTGGGAAATTTATATATTTTGGGACAATCCTGTTGCAAAGTGGAGTACAATTATGGTTAGAATTTTAAAATTTCATTATTACTGTGGTTATGTGGGATAATGAGAAGGCCATGTGTTGTGAATAACTTGTTTAACAGACCTGCTAACTTCTTTTTTGTGAAACACTGGCGGAAAAGTTCATTTTGAATGTAAACATTTTTTTTACACATGCTCATCATTCTTATGTGGTCCATTAAACAAGTTATTTAGATTACTTGGCCGAAATGGATCCATGTCTTTATATATGTCAAGGTGCAATACTGTGGGTGTTGGGTATTTTCATAGTGTTGTTTATGTATTTGTTAGAAAAACTGGTAAATGAATTGTGTGTTATCATTTTACAAATTAAGAATAATTGTTATTCACATATCAAGGTAAAATGGTGGAAGGGAAGGGATGAATCATGAAGGATTGATAAGTGGGAGATTATTTTTTCTTTCTTTTATGATGTGAAGATTAATGATAATCTGATGATGATTATTTTTTTTCCTCACTGTATGTACAATATATCTATGTATAATCAAACTATTGGATACTACTGTTTATGTAAAAAGATGTCTTTTTTTTTTAAATACAAGGTTGACATGTGCTGATACCACCCCTAATCCTCCATGGTTCATTCCAAAGCACAAATTTATACCTGGAAGGCATAAGGGAAAAGTTGTTGAAAGGTTTGGGGATATTTATGTACACAGAAATTATATATATGGAATTTTATCAGGCACGACAAGTGCTTTTCATAGTTTGACTGTTGTGCATGGGTTCAGGTGCTTGTTGAATCAGCGTTATGTGTTATTCAGAAGTTAGAAAGATCTGAACTTGTCAACCTAGTATTTGCATAGGAAAGTCAGCAATAGGATGGGGTTGGGTGAAACTCCGCTAGACAGTTATCAACTTGAGATGTGAAGTTCCAGCTAACTTCTTTTGAGTTGTTCTCTGATTTCACAATTTAAGAAAATTGTCGGCAGTAGAGCGAATTTTATCACTATATGATGAACTTACAGTTTGATGGGAACAGTTGAGAAATCGCAGTTTCAGCCATGACTGCAGTACCTATTGGCTCTGCTAGAGGGCAGTGATTAGAGTTGGTTTGGACTGGGCCTAAAACTATATTATATATTCAGCCACACTTCCTATGCTTAGACAAGTGTCATCGTGTCGGGTACATTGTTATGTGTTGACTAGCTGCCTTAGATGACATACAAGTATTTTTCTAAAACAGGAAAGCATGCAACCTGCATGCAGAGGTTGATCTTTGTGGGTCGGAGGTTTTATACACTGCACTTTTGTACCGGACCATTTCAGGAATAAAATTTTTCTACATTGGAATATGCCTCTGTGTCTTGTATTCATTGGACAGGAATGAAAATCGCAGAGACGTGGTTTGAAACCATTAAGGATCAAAAGAATGCTCCGCTTGTGAGGCGTAGCAAAAAAACACAACAGCAACAGGTGGTTGAAACTCTGCAATAATTGCATTGATCGCTAGATGTCCCCATCGACAGGTGTAGGTATCACACCCCCATAGTAGAATGGAATGGCCGATAGAAACTCGTCATTGCGAAAAGAGGAAGTTGAGAATTATTCAGCTTTATTCACCCAGTGGCGGTTTCGCACCAATATAGGTAAAACTACATCGGTTTCTCAAGACAGAAACAATGAATACCAGCGATTCTCGATGTTTCTGCTGCAGACAATGTTTGTCCTGTACGTACTTCACTTGCTTTGGCGAATCGCTCGTACCTACTAGTAATTCTCGGCGATCGTGTGGAGGCCGCGGGTACTCGATCAGCACCTGTTCCTGCCTCTGTAGCGAGGTAGTTACGTGTACCTGTAAATGCAACGTCGGGAAGCCCCACGACGTCCTACAGAAGATTGCCTCTATCGCGGGCGGCGCTGTTCTTGTTGTTGGCGGTGCTACCCTGGCCGTGGGTTCGGGCGGGATGGCAGCGTTCCCGATTCTTGGCGGCATGGTGGGAGGAGCTGGTCTAAGCTCGACCATCCACGGTGTCGTCAAAGCCGGGAAGGGAGAGAAAATAAGCGCAAGGGAGTACTTCGTGGACGTGGGTGTCGGCACTATAACCGGTGCGATTGGAGGCGGTGGTCCAATTTTGACTGAGGCGATAGCCCAGGATTTGGGGAAAGAAGTGTGCAAGAAAGGAGGTACCAAGCTTGTCCAAGAAGCGTTCAAGAAAGGAGGTACCGAGCTTGTCGAAGAAGCGTTCAAGAAAGGAGGTACCGAGCTTGTCCAAGAAGCGTTCAAGAAAGGAGGTACCGAGCTTGTCCAAGAAGCGTTCAAGAAAGGAGGTACCGAGCTTGTCGAAGAAGCGTTCAAGAAAGGAGGTACCAAGCTTGTCGAGGAAACGTTCAAGAAAGGAGCTAACAAGCTTGTCGAAGAAGTGTTCAAGAAATCAGGTACCAAGCTTGCCGTTCGTACGGTGGGAGGAATAACGACATCATTGGCCAGCACCGCGGTAGTAGAGGCTGGAGACTATTTCAAGGGCAAAAAGGACTGGGATGACTGTGGAAACGACGGTGCAATGTGGGCCAAAAGTGCAGCCATGGGGGCAATAGCAGGTATTGGCTCTCATGCCTGGTATGAAGTAAAGGATTCGGCATACCTGCAAGACATCTTGAAGAAGCAAGGCGGTCGAAATGATGGCCCTCGAAATCCGGATCCGTATTTAAGCGACCAGAGCGAGAAAATATGTTCCAAACTGGTCATACCGACGGCAAAGGGAGCGTACGGAATACACAAAGGGCTAAGTGAGGCTGATGAACAATTTGAAAATAATTCCTTCGTTGTGAGTCATTTTCAGACTCCCCAATATCCTCATCACGCAGCATGGAACAGCCAGTGCTTGTCTAACATGCCACAGCACCCAGTACCCGATCGCCGCCTGGCACCCGACCCGTACCTGGCACCCAACCACCGCCTGACACCCAACCACCGCCTGGCATCCAACCACCACCTGGCACCAGACCCGTACCTGGCACATAAGCACTACTCGGCACCCGACCCTTACCCGGCACCCAATCACCGCCGGGCACCCGACCACTACCTGGCACCCAACCACTACCTAGCTCTCAACAACCGCCTGGCACCAGACCCTTACCTGGCACCCAACCACTACCCAGCAACAGACCCTTACCTGGCACCCAACCACTACCCAGCAACAGACCCTTACCTGGCACACGACCACTACGTGGAATCATACCACCGCCTG